GAGAAAGAGAGAAGAGAGAAAAAATAGAAAGAAAGAAAAAAGGAAGACATAAATAAACATAATACATAAATAAACATAACGACACAAATGATAAACATAATACATAAATAAACAAAGAAATAACAACACAAATAGAACAGCCATCCCTCACGAATCCCAGGAGAGGCGAGGCAAGAAGCCCAACAGTGAGGCAAGTGGACGTGAATGAGGCGACGAGATGGAGGATGGGCGGCCGCGGGCGGTCATGGGCGCCCCTCGTGTCCATTCGCGCGCCCCGGGTTGCGATGTGGGTCGAATGGGCTCTTCAATTGCGGTATGGGGGGAGGGAGGAGGGGGAGGGGGTATGGGATGGTAGATATGGGTGAGGTTATGTGGATGGATGGAGGTATGCGAAATTTTTTTCTTGTTTTGAGAGTTAAAAAGATATATGGGGAAAGTTGGCTTAAAATTTATAAACACATACACGCACGCGCGCTCACACACACACATGTATGTATATATGTGTGTGTGTGTGGATATATATTGTGTGTAAGTTATATATATCTAAATCTATCAATCAATATATTTATATGTATAATTATTTATTTATTAATTTATTTCTGTACATACAAATACAATTATACATACATAAATTCATATATAGCTAGATAGACATACATATACTCAGTGATATGTGTGTTTATACAACATACTCACATACGCACAAACCTGAAAAGCACGATTATTGCTCAGCGAAATGCACATCGCTGTCCATTTCGCGTGTATTGCGAAATCCTGAGGTGAAGAGGTATAATGGCGCCTCGTTTAGCAACATTCACGCTCAGGAAAGGCGACGTCCTCATGCTGCTTCTTTGCCTTGCAGTGTTGGCGTTGCTGCTGGTGGTGGGTGCGGTGACCTGCTCCCCGCTGCCCAGCGACTTCCCCGCCCACGCCGCCCAAGATGCCGCCCACCACGTCGAGGTTACCCACGAGGTGCGCCACGTCACGTTTGAAGTAAGTGAGGAGGTGAGCGACGCCACCGCCTCGTCCCAGGTCCCCTCCGCCGTCCCCCCGAGGATGACCCCCCATCCCCACGGCGACGACCCCCCGACCCTCCCCGACGCCCACCTTCCGCACCACGTGGCTCAGCTCGACCTCCAGCCCGCCCACCACACGCTGCCCGAGGAGCACGGGCTGGAGGAGAAGGAGGAGGACGTCCCCGAGACCGAAGGATTCCTCTCCGACGAGCCGCCTGTCGAGGACGCCGTGAAGGACGAAGGGATTCTCGGCGCCCTCCAGGAAGACGAGGACGTGGAGGTCGAGGCTAAGGAGGAAGAAGGAGGCCTCGGGGAGGACACGGCAGCGGAGAGGGTCTCGAGTGAGAGCGCCTCGGGAGAGCACGACCCGCAGGACATCGCGAGGGGCGTCGTTCCCGAAGACACCGCGGCCGAGGAGACCAGCCTGGCGGAGGACGCGTCGGCCGGGCAGGAACACACAGAAGAAGACCAAGAAGAGAAAAGTGCAACACACGGCGCTGAACTCCAAGAACACGTGGCGAATGAAAGTGCAGTGGAGGACCATGTGAGTGGGGAGAGTGCGATTCAGGAGGAAAAGTCAGAACAAAGTGTTGCCGAAGAAAATGCCCCCGAGGAGAGTACAGTGGAAGAACAAGCGCCCGTAGAAAACGTAGCGATAGAGAGCAAACCAGAAGACTCCGTACCTGAAGACAGTGACCTTGGAGAAAGCAAAGCAACTGGAAGCTCTTCAGAAGCGAATACAACGAGTGAGGTCGCGTCAGGAGAGGAAATGACAAACGAGAATGTCCAGGCAGAGAGTGTCACAGTGGAAAGCGTGTCAGAAGAACAGGCCGTGGAGAAGGAGCCAGAGGTAGAGGCGCATGTACATCCTGTCGAGATGATGCAAGCCGACGAGACGCGAGAGACTGTCGTTCTGGCCGAGCCCGTCGCGGAGGAGAGCAAAGAGGAAGAGAACAAGACGGAAAAGGAGATTGTCTCGGAAAGACACACCGCGGAGGAGAGAAAGAGGAAGAACAAGACGGAAAAGGAGATTGTCTCGGAAAGACATACCGCGGAGAACAAAGAGGAAGAAAAGACGGAAAAGGAGATTGTCTCGGAAAGACACACCGCGGAGGAGGACGTAGTGGAAGAAGACAAGACGGAAAAGGAGATTGTCTCGGAAAGACACACCGCGGAGGAGAACAGAGAGGAAGAAGACGAAACGGAAAAGGAGATCGTCTCGGAAAGACACACCGCGGAGGAAGACGTAGCGGAGGTGGCCGCCCCAGAGGAGGGAGAAGAGAGCGAAGCCCAGGAGGACGTCCCGCAAGACCACGCTGCGGCAGAGGGAGAGGCGGAGGAGGAGATGGCTGCAGCAGCACGAGACGCTGCGAGTCATGAAGGGGACCAGGAGGAAGTTCTGGCAGACGCTTCGGAACAGGAAGCTAGCCATGAAGAACCCAACTCCACAGACATCATGGACCCCAGGGTTAAGAAGGAAGTGGAGATTTCGGAGGAAGAAAAAAGAAGCGCCGAGGAAACCGCAGGAACTGAGGAGAAGACCGAAGGCGAAATCTTGCCCCTCGACCTGGAAGCCTCGGAGGAGGAGGAGACGCAGCCGATCCTAGTCGCGGCCGAAGGGGACCACGCCGGTTCTCCCTCTCCAGCCGAAGGCCAGAGTGACCAGGGCGGCGTGGCCTTCGTCAACGATGCGCCGTCGTCCCTGGATAGCTCCGAGTTGTCCTCCGAAGAGGTCCCCATCCCGGTGGAGATGCACACGGACACCGAGGGCGACAGTGGGGTGGAGATCACGCCGGCAGAAACTCCTCGCAAATCCCGCATCTACATCGAGGATGACTATAGCGACCCCGCTCGCGTCACCCACCCCGAAGACCCCGCTGTTCCCGAGGACGCCGCCGAGGAGGAGAGCGAGCACAGAGTAGTCAACAGCGGCCTCGAGAGCATGAGCATGACCTCGCCGACTCCTGAGGTGCCACCGCAGAATGTGCCAGTCGAGGCCACCGTCGAGGAAGACCAGGTTCCTCCCGCCAACAGCGAGGAAATAGAGTCGGTCACCCCGCCCCTCGACGCCGCAGAGCCTGAGGAGAACGTCACCTCCGTCATCGATAAGGTCGAGGAGCCTCCCGCAGTGCACGAGACGGAGGAGGAAGTGAGCGTAGTCGACGACGTCCTCCCGAGTTCGAGTGTTGCCCCTGCGCTCGCCGAGGACTACCCCGACTCCTACACTGACCCTCTGGATGCGGCTGACCTGCCTGACATCGACGTGACGCACGAGCACTTGCCCTCCAAGGAGCAGCCTCTGGACAAGGGCGAGGAGGCCGGCGCTGGCCAGCCCAGCGATCACGCGTGAGTATTTGGTCATAGTCAGGATGTCAGGTTTTCTACTTTCAGTTTTCATATTCAGTCAAAATCGGTTGTTTTCCAACATGTCGATTCTACACGAGGAGTAGGAGTAAATAATATGTAAATTCCCATGGGTTCGTGATGAATAAAAGATAACAAACAGTATACAAATCACGGCGTTCCTTTGATAGATATAAATAGGGTAGTTAACAGTATACAACTTGCAGTTTCCTTGTAGAATTCAGTGTTGAGAGAAAAGGTAAAATCAAAGCACACTGAGTAGCAATATTTCGAGGACCCCTTTTCTACGACTCGCAATATCTCGACAGAGGTGAGGTGGCAGGTGACTCCAGCGACCTGGCCGCGAGTGACCACATGCTGGAGGTGGAAGCAGGCACGCCTCGGGTCCTGCCGCCCCAGCAGGAGCAGGTGAGCGCCGCAGCTCCCACGACCCTCACCGTCGGATGCATCATCGCCATCGTGTTCGGCGTTCTCGTGTCTCTAGTCATTCTCGTCGGTAAGCTGTGGATTCGCTCCGTTCTGCCATTGTCTTTCTGCTCCTCCGAACGAGTTTCTGAAATGAATTGTTTTTGTCTGAAAGAACTGGACATTTTTTTTTTACTGACGTGACCACATCAGTTACACAATTACATTTACTCAGAACACAAGAAATTCCGCTACAGGATTTATTGGTTTAAACACACACACACACACACACACACACACACACACACACACACACACACACACACACACACACACACACACACACACACACACACACACACACACACACAAACAAACAACAAACAAACACACACTCACTCCCCCCCACACTCCCCACCCCCAACACACACACCTCCACACAAGCCCAAAACATCCACATCTTCCCACCCCCTCCCAGACGCCCACCTACCTCCTCCACTCCTGGCGCAGCGGTAACGTGCTGGTCTAGCAATCTTGCGGACCAGCGTTCAATCCCACGCCCGGCCAGTGAATGGTGGTAACCCGGCCATTCCTTGCACACAGGGGGAGATCGGGCAAAAATAAAACAGACAGCATGCACAGAAAAAGAACATCCATTGTAACAAATGGAATCAAAACTAAATCAATTAAATTCCCCCAGGCGTCGGAGGTTTCGTCCTGTACCAGCGACGAACTCTGAACCGCCCCAAGGCCCTCAACTCCGACAGGGGCTACGCGGGCAGCGACTCCGGGGGCTACATCGACGACCAAGTACGGGTGTCGTATGTCAACTCGCAGATTGACACGCCAAAGGTGAGTCGATTTTCCGTTCTCCCTTTTCTGTGCATGTTGATGTATGTTGATGATATTCATGGATATGTTGGCAGGGGGGAAAGGGTATAATGCTTATAAGTTCGATAGAGCGGTGGGCATTTAATTATAAAGGAATGATTTAAAACAAAATGTTGGTGATGGAAATACAGTGTAGAATAGTATTTATCTAATAGCATTAATGTTTTCAGCTTGTAATGAATAATCTATATTGTTAAATCTTTTTTTTAGACTGCATTTGTATGCAGGGTAAATAGTTGCACTCTGAATGTCCTTTTACATATGTTTACATTATTTTTTATCTACGGCAGCTGCTAAACACAATTATGTTGCATGGCATATATT